ATCTCTTTCTATGTTTCTATGAGCAGAGCCAGTTGGAGCCAGGGTCAGACTAGATGGCCCGGGAGACCCCTTCTGCCTTGATCTCTTTCTATGTTTCTCTTCGCTCCCCACCTCATCTCCCAAAATGAAGTTGGAGAAAAACTTCCAGCCTGGGTCCACCCCTAATTGCGACTTATTTCCAGGGCTTCCATCTCACAGATCATGTGACCCCAGCATGGCAGGTGGCAGTAATCGCCTTGTGTCTGTACAGCATGGCCAGCTGTTTGCTTCAACGGGGCCCAGTCTTTGCAATCTGGGGCAGCTCACCTCCCGGAGTTGACATCCGCTGCCAGGTCTCTTGTTCCTGTCCACCCATGTGCTGTAAACAGAGTTGTTATGAAGCTGGGGGTCTCAGGAAAGGGTGAAGCTGGGACTGCAGAGGAAGGCTAGGGCCAGGGAACCCAGAAATGGTCCTGGTGGAGGGTTAGGGCTGGGTTCAGGTTCTCCCATTGCTCCATTGTTTGGCACTAGCCCCAAGGGTCTCTTAGCACTTTGCAGCCCAACTGTGTCTGCGGGAACCTAAATCCGGGCTTTGTGGATCGTGACGTTAACATCCTGCTGCTTTTCTTGCTGCAAGGTGGCGTAAGTGCCCGCCCCCCTCTGTTTTATCCTTGCAAAGGCCCTGGGAGGCGGCTCGGGCCGAGCCCCTGCGGGTGGCCCAGTGCCGGCGGGGGCTTCCGCATTGCAGGAGGACTACAGCTCAGCCCCCCAGGGCTCCAGGCCCGCACTCGGACCGCCACGCTGCACGAGTCACGAGTGTTTTTCTGCTGTGGGGAATCCTGCGATCGGCACTGCCCCCCCTCCTCAGGCCAAGGGGGGGCAGTCAGTTGCTCCATGGAGTGCGTTTGGGCCCCATCTATGGGCAGCAGATTGTCTCTTTGGCCAGGAAGGGAGCAGTCCTCTGGTGGTGGCCGGTGCCCACTGAGGCTGGGGGCGGGGATAGAGGGCAGGGCGGTGGGTCAGAGACCAGGGGGCCTGCCAGGCAACCCAAGGCACTCCTACAAGGTGGCGCAGCCTCCTGAACCCCCAGCCGCTCTCTGCCATGTCGCAGGAAGCCTCATGGGGGCACGGCATTGCATGGGCTGGGAGAGGAGGAGATTGCTGGCCCCCCTGCTCCTGCCTCACAGCAGTCCCCCTCCCCAGGGCCAGAGTGTGGGGCAGCTGTGGGCACAGTGCTGCCCAGGAGGCTGCTGCTGCAGATGAAGGGCCCCACGCCACGCTGCTCAGACCAATCAAGCCCACGGTGGGCCCAGGAGTGCTGCTCTCCGGGGGCCACACACGGCCCCCAGGATGGGACTCCCAGACAGCATCCTTGCGCACCATGTGGGCCATTCCCCAGTGTGCGATGACGGAGGTGCCACACACGGTTCGGGATCACCATATCCGGCAGGGGCCTCTTCTTGGATGGAGGGATCTGGGAGCATGAGCTCCAGGCGGCGTCTCAGCTCCATTTCGGCTCATGGTCCCCAGAGAAGGACCCAGGGCAGGGACTGCTCTCCCGGCTCCAGGCACTGAGAGACTCAAGGGCCAGAATGTTGGAGCTCCCAGGAATGGGGCTCACATTGCTTTCACTCTGGGCCTCTCGGGGATGATCACTAGGCCATGCAGCCCCAGCATGGTCTCTCCACCGGGCTGCCACAGAAAGCGCTGCTGCATCCACACCTGGGAGAAGAATCGGCAGGCATTTTTCTCCTCCGAGCCGGTGATCCGCAGATCCACATGCTTAAGGGGTGGCACAACTGATGGAAGATGGAGGCAGGCAGTCCATTTATTTATTTTATTTATTTATTAAAACATTTCTATGCCGCCATGGCAGAGGGACCGGCAGTCCTTGGGCTGATGCCAGCCAGGGTGGGAGGGGGGCTTTGGCCCCCTTTTGTCTCCCCACAAGGATTTCTTTGCTTTTAGAAAGTGTTCTCCTCCAAGGGCAGCCAAGCAACTGCCCCGGGTCCAAAGGCTGGCTGTTCTCCATCCCAGCTATATTTCTGGGTCCTGTGGATAAAAGGCCAGCTGGACTGGGGATCCAGGTTCCAGTCCCCACTTGTGAGGCTCCAGGGCAGTTCAGGGCTGCATCTGCTGGCCGAGCACCACAAGAGCAGCCCTGGTTGTTGCTGGATCACCCCCGAAGCTGCCACTGCTGCCGGGGCCCTCATGAGCACCACCTGGAAGCCCTGGGGAACAGCTATGTTGGAAGTGGCTCTTCCTTCTGGAGGATGGCTCAGCAAGGAAGGTCTCTATCGTGCGTGTACGCTTGGATGAGATTCCCAGGCATGCATGAGATAGAGGGCTCTGGTGAGAATGATGGGTGAGGCCCAGAGGAGGGCAAGTGGAGCGTTGTCCCAGTGGCGGCTCAGAGGCCTCACTCTGATACTGGAGTTGCTGAGACTAGCGAGGCCCTGGTGGCCCAGACTCTCCCGGTGAGCCGGCCTGAGCCAGCTCTGGATCAAAGCACTTCCAGGACAACCACTGAGCCCCCTCCCACTCCTGACTGTGGGAAAGGAGCCAGAGGGGAACCGGCTGGGGAGGGCTCCTTGGGAGTTTGGGGTGCTCGGTCCCATTGACGCACTCTCCGGATGGGCCAATTGATGGGAGAAGTGGCAGTGTGGCTGTGTCTAGAGTGCCCTCACCCCAGAGATCAGCCCCGAAGGGTTCCTAAACATAGTGTGGGGTGACTAGGGTCAATGCAAGAGGGAAACTTTCTGCCATGAGTGTGTGTTTTGGAACTAGTAAATACTCCATAGCTGTATGGGATAAAGACTCTTTGAATGACGATTGACATGCTTGCCTTCACTGGGAAGGGACACCTGCCTCAGTGCATGATTAGCTGCAGTGCCCCTTGCTCCTCGCTGGCTGGGCCTTGTCTGCAGAGCTTCCTTGGTGTCTGACCACAGCCTGCTTGACACTGGACTGGAATTACCTTGCTCCTGTCTGCTCCTGGTGCTGGGATAAATCTTTGGATTTCATTGGGAAGAGAGTTTGGACTTTAGCCAAGGTGCCTGTGTTGGTTGGTCAGCCACCCATGCACCAGACACTGCCACTGCTCAGCCACGGAGCTCGCTGGCTGACCCTGAGACAGTCACAAACTCTCAGCCCAGCCTACCTTGCAGGGGTGTTCTTGCAGGGCAAAATGGGGCAGCGTAATCCCCTTGGATTCCTCTCAAGAGGAAAAGGGATGGGGCTTAAATGCACTGGAACTACAGCTGCAACATGGAGCATTGTTTGCAGAAATCAAGGCCGGAGAGTTTTGGCAGAGTGTGTGGTGACCCTGCAGTCTTTGGCATGACCCTCCCTCCAGCAAGTCCACGTAACAACAAGACAAAGGAGAATGTATCAGCAAAGGGTGCTCCTGAAGGTATTTTGGACCCGATCCAAGAGGGGCTTCAAAGGCCCTTACCAGCATCTCGTCATGCATCTGGAAACATCTCGGCAGCCAGTTGCAGGCATGCACAGTGCGGTTCTCCAGGGAAGGATGCAGCTGGCACGTTGGCCAAAGCCAATGGCGGACCCTCCTGATCACAGCTTCCATCCCAGCTGGCGTCTGAAGTGCCGGCTGACATCTGCAAACTCTGCTCACCTTTTAGGGGGGTGAGACCCCATGCTGAGCTGGACCCTTCACAGAAAGCACCTCCGTTTGGTTCGGATCCAACTTCAATGGGCTGTTCCCCATATGGCCCATGACCAGCCTCCGGCAGTCCTTCCAAGAGGAGACACCGTCCCTGGAAGCAGCAGCAGATGATGGCAAGGAGAAGCAGATCTGGGCGTCTCGGCGTGCTGAGGTCTCTCCCCGTGGCACCACGTGAAACAACTCTGAAGACCAAGCAGGGCACCATGGGACAGCAGAAGTCCATGCAGCCTTCTTAGAGTGCCCCCTCCAAGCATCCCCTCCTGGAACCCACCCTAGAAGCCAGAAGGGGACCACTGACAGGATGTGCCTGCTATTCCCAAGTCCCTCAGATGATCCAGAAGGATACTGGGGTCAACAGCATCAAGGGGCCCCACAGCACCAGCAGGGACACGCTCCCCTGCCAGTTTGGAGTCGTGGACCATCCACCCGAGTGGCCGAACTGTTCTCGACCCGTGCCCTGCTCCGGAGCCACTTAGACACGAGTCCTGAATGTCCGTCTCACTCAGAACCACCTGGAGATGGAGGGATCCTGCCCTCTTGATTGCCTGATGTGGAAATGGCACGTTTGAGATGGGTGTGAGGTTGTTAAGGTCCAGGGGCTCAAATTTGGTGTCTTGAGGAGGGGCTGTTGTAACCCCCCTCATAATCAAGCACGTAGCCAGGGCATGGCTCATCACGAGTAAAAAGCATGATCAGGGTGTCCTGTTCGCGTGAGAACAAGAACACGAACACGGATGTGCACGCTACACAAAGCTGACAACAAAGCAGGCCACGCTCCAGCATTACCAGTATCACCGCAGACGTTACGACCTTGTACCCACGCTTGCTTGCTTTAGCATGATAAATGTGCAAATGTGCTTTCCCCTATTGTCCCCCTATTGTTCACTGTCATTCAAGCATAAGTATGGAAGAGTATAAAAACAATGTCTTCCCTCTGTTCGGGACCACACTCCTATGAGTGCTTGGTCCCTGCAGGTAAATAAACCGCTCTCGATAATTCCAACCAGTCTCTGGTCTCGTCCATAAAATCACGGCATACAACAGGGGCCGTGTCTCCTTCAGGGAGCAAGGAACCCTCCCATCCCTGAAGGGGGCCTGGGTGGTCCGACAGAATTGTTCCCTGAGCATCTCCACCCCCTGGATTACTGGCCAAAATGGACACGGGTTGAGAGGAAAGATGGATTCCTTAGCACCCAACGTCATGAGGGCTTACAAAACTGAAAGCAGTCCAGGGCAACCCCTTCACGGAGCTGCTGGACACCTCCGTGCCAATCCCCCCATCAAGCTGGGCTCTTATCCAGGAAATTTTATGTGCAAAATGGCTGGTAGAAGTGTCTCCATGAGCAAAGAAACCCCTGTATTGTTTCACTTAAAAGTCAGTGAGGAAATAAGGAATCCTTCCACCCCAAAATCCAAGTTGTAGAAACATAGAAAACATAGAAACAGAAAAAAAGTGAGTCAGGAGGGGTCTCTCAGGCCATCTAGTCTGACTCCAGCTCCAGCCAGCTCCACTCATGTAATCCTGAACATGTGGATGGGGATGCTGCCAAACCGGGAGCAGACGATTCACAGCAGGATGTGGCCAGATCCCCCCGCGATCTTCTCCCACCGCCGGGGCCTCACGCTGCAGGAAAGAGAGGCAAAGAAGACTGTGGTGAAGCGGATGGCAGAGGCTGGAGGGCAGTGGAATTTCAGGCACGGCAGGACCCCATAGGACCCCCGCCCAGTCCCAGCTCTGGCAGGGGCCACACAAGCAGCCGCTTGGCCTCTGCTGCCCACGCGGTCCCACCACGCAGGTCAGAAGCAGGTTGGAGGGGTGACACCAAGTGACGGCTCTAGAAAGTGAGTCAAGCTGCACTCAGCTCAACTGAAGGCACCCCCTCCCCCATTGCCAGCACCCTGGTGCCCTCTAGATGTGCTGGACCCCAAGGCCTCATTCTCATGCGGCATGGCTTGGTGGAGGATTCTGGGAGCCATGCTCCAATCCATTTGCAGAGGTCCCTAGCCAATCTGGCTTCCCACTCTGCCACTCTCCGACTGGCTGCAGGGGGGCCACTCTCTCACTTCATAGTTCGTGCAGAAGGCACTGCAGTGAAAGCTGGGCTGGTGCGGGGGGTAGGGGGTGCACACAACACCAATAATCCCAAATATTGCCACTTGAAGCCCTTCCTCTCGTAAGGACGCCTCAGGAGAGGCATTTGAACCTTTGAGAATGGGGCAAACTGCAGCAAGATCAGGAAACCATTGGATGACTGGCAGTTGAGGAAGAGGAAGGGGGAAGGCATGACCTGCTGGCCCCCCAGGTGGGCTGGGCTTGGTCCCACCTCTGGGGGGCTCCCCAACCCTGTCCCAGGCAGACACTTACCCTTGACGGAACTGTCTGATCCCTGGTCACCTGCTGTAGGAGGAGGAAGAGGGAGGGGTCAGGGGCCAGCACTGGCTGGACTGGGTACGCGGGTGGGGTGGGGGCCCATCCCTCTCCCCCTTCCCTCACCACCCGCTGCCCCCTGGGGCCAGTCCAAAGGGATCAAAGAGCAGTGGGAATGAGGGGTGGGCTTCGGGAGCCCCTGCAGGCAGCCCCGTCCCCCCGGGGGGCTCTCCATGTCCCTGGGCATGGGGAAGACACTCACTTGAGGCAGCTTTGTAGCCCTCGGCTCTGGCTCTCCGTAGCTCTGCAAGGGCAAGACCAGAGCATCAGGCAGGGAGGGGCCCTCCAGAGGTCCCCCAGTGCCCCCCACTGGCCAGAGCAGGTGGGCGGCAGTCTTTTCTCCCCCGTTTCCAAAATGGACTTGCAGGAGACGCAGGCACGGGGGCCAGGACACCCTCCGCACATCCTCAGTGCCAGTCCACAAAAGGTGCATCAGTTGGTTCCATTGCTTTGCCCGCCTTCCCAGCCAATACCCAAACACAGTTCCAGAGCTTGGGTGCCACCACCAAGGAGGCCCTCTGGAGTCCCGTGGCTGTGTGCCTCACGGCCACGGCTCGGGGCCCCTCCATGGCCAACACTGGCCACTGGGGAAAGGGCACAGGGCCCCGAGCCATTCAGCTCTTGCACTGCGCACGCTGACACCCAGCTCACCAGAGGCCCAGGTGCCCCAGTGCATGGAGGGGCACAGAGCAATGCACCCCCCGGCCCCCCTGGAGGGTTTCCTTACTGAGGAGGAAGGCGATCCCTGCCCCCAGCAGGGCGGTGGCGGCCACGACTGCTGCGGCGACTCCAGCCAGGAGCCCCCAGTCAGGCGAGTCTGGAGCAAGGAGACAAAAGACAAAAGGGTGGCTGGGCCGTGGCTCCTCCCACGGGAATCCCCCGTCTCCCCAGGACATGCAGACAGATGGGCAGAAGTAGCCACTACAGGGAGGGGTGTGCGTTGTGGAGGGGGGTCTTCCCAGGGAATGGCCATGCAAGGGGGTGGTTATACAAAGCAGGGCCAACTCTGTCATGGCTCCCCAAGAGTCTCGATCTCCCTCACCAAGGGGGGGCTGGCTGGCATCAAAGCACGCTCCCCCCCGGGACCGTGTGGTCTCTCCTTGTGAGAGCACATCTGGGAACTGGCTTGCCAGGGGACCTGGATGGCCCGGGGCTGCGGCTTTTGTCCCCCTAAAGGAGGGGGAAGCAGTGGCCGGGCTCCCTGGGGCCCAGATGCTCCCTGGGGACCCATATGCTCCCCCTGATATGGGGGGGCCACTTCCCCAACTGCGAGGCGGGTGCCTGCTCAGCACCCCCATGGATCCCATGGGGGTTGCTCCCCCAGCCACAGCCTCCGGCAGTCCCCGACTTGACCGCTCACCAGGCTCCTCCCAGGCCAGGATGAGGGGCTCCGGCAGGCCGGGGTGCTTCACGTGGCACTGGTAGCGGTGTCTCTCGGTGGGGTTGATCCGGATGCTGACCCAGGTGTGGTAAGTCATGTCCGCGTTGGGGACGACACCTCCGTGGAGGGTCCCCTCAGTCCAGGCCTCCCCGTCCTTCCTCCAGGTGGTGCTGATCTCCTTCGGGTAGAAGCCGTGGGCCCTGCAGACGAGGGTCTCCTGGTGGCTGTGGCCCTGCTGGCGGGCCAGCCTCACCACAGGGGGCTCTGGGGAAGGACACGGTGGTCAGTGACCTCTGCTCGGCCCCTGATCAGTGGAAGGGCCTGCTGCCCCCTGGAGAGCCAGAGGGAGCAGTGCTGCCTCCCACCCCTTGGATTTGGGCCCTGGGGCCCCACTGGAGTGCCACTGCTGGTGGAGGCCAGGAGCCCATCAGGCAGGTTGAGACCTGCAGGGCTGCGATTCTGCAGAAAAACAAGCAAGGCAGGGCTGAAGGCCTCTTGAGGGGGTATTTTAAAATTTTTATTTATTTATTCTATTTATATCCCACCTCTGTTCCATCATTCTCCTCCTGCTGCTTATCCCCACCGCAACAGCCCTGTGAGACAGGTTGGGCCGAGGGTCTGTGCATGGCCCAAAGTCACCCAGAGGGCTGCATGGCCAAGGGGGGACCAGCACCTGGGTCGCCTGAGTCCCCATCCCACCCGTGGGAGCCCGTTCCCATCCTGGGCCAGCGCAGCTGCAGGCCAGAATGGGGTCACATGCATGAGTTGGCGCCTGAAGCCGTTCAGCCTCCCCGGCAGGCCCAGTCTGGTGCAGTCCCAAAGGCAGTGGTACAACCGCGCCGCTTCGGCTGCCCAGTGAGGGGTGGCGTTTCATGGTTCGCCTTTGTCTCCCTGTCCCTGCCAGGCTCGCCTTCTGGCTGGGCCATTTCCATGCTGAGGGCAGCCAAGCGGCCCCCTCTCCCCCAGCCGCGCGTGTCCCCCGGCCTGCGGAGGCCCCCCCTCACCTCTCGCCATCAGCGCCTCCTTCCCGTAGGCCACGAAGGTGCGCAGCCACTCCACGCACTCCTCCTCCAGGTAGACCTTCAGGTGCTGGGAGTAGGCCAGGTCGGCGTCCCGCTTGCGCTTGAAGACGTGGGCCATGGGGCTGGCGGCCGTCCAGGTGAGCGTGTCCTTGTCCAGGCTGATGTAGTCCGCCCCATCGTAGGCATACTGCATGTGGCCGCCACGCCGCCCATCCGCCCCCAGGTCACAGCCGTACATGCGCTGCCACGTGTGAGAGCCTAAAGCAGGACACACACGCACATGGGTGCAGTGCAGGGGTGGTGGGCCAGATCCACAGCCCCCAGCCGTCCAGATTTGAGCCGGCTCAGGACAGCCAGCGCTCCACAGCCTGCCCTCCAGAGGCGGGACCCGATTTGGCTCATGCGCACTGTCCGGCACACCAGCTGGGTGGGCAGCCTTCCTCCGGGCAGGCACTCCAGGGGTGTTCCCCGTTTGGACGGGCAGCTCAGGGAGGGAGGGAGGGCCGGGCCGGGGCAGGGAGTGCTCATGCCCCCCCAGCAGCCCTGGCCTGCCCTCCTGCCCACCCGCCTCACTCACCCCCGCTCTGGTTCTGGTGGCTCTGCAGCGTGGCCAGGTCTCCCCGGAAGCGCAGCTCCGAGTTGAGGGCCCGGCGCGTGTTCTGCTCCCAGAAGTGGGCGTGCTCCCTCTCAATGGGCTCGATCCATGGCACCTGCGGCTGCGCCCTCTTGGTGACACTGTCATAGCGTGCAAAGAGCTGGTCGTCCACGTAGCCTTCGGCGAGGAAGTGGGGCACGCCCTGCCCGGGCTCTGACATCAGCGTGTAGAAAAAGCGGAGGGAGTGCGAGGCAGACGACGGGGAGGGCCCTGGAAGAACCACGCGGGGTGCTCAGGTGGGGAGGCTGCCACCACACATGCTCCCGGCCTTCCACGAGGAGGGACAAGGGGCCCATTGTCTCCCCACGGAAGGTGGCACGGCAGCTCCATGTTGCGAGCACGGAGAGGGGGCTGCTGATGATGCAAGAGAGGAACCCATCTGGGGAGAGGGCTGCGTGGGCTGCATGTGTGTCTGCACAGGGAAGGGACCCCAGGAAGCCCATGGGGAAGGACAAGGCTCTGCTTCCAGAAACGGGGCTGCAGCCAATCTTTGTACTGGGGGGTGTCACTGCCACTCTATGCGACTCAGGTGCACCCGTAACTGGAGTGTTGTGCTCAGTTTTGGGCCCTCGTTACAGGAAGGCTCTAGCCAGGTTGGAGTCAGTGCAGCACAGGGCCACGAGGTTGGTGGCTGGTTTGCAGGGGAAGCCGTATGAGGCGAGACCGAGGGAGCTGGGCATCTTCAGCCTGGAGAAGAGGTGGCTCAGAGGGGAGCTCTTGGCGACATGCAGGCATGTGAGGGGGTGTCACACGGAGGTGGGGAGAGACCTGTTCTCCCCTGCAGAGGAGGGCAGGGCTTGCTCCAATGGAGCGAAGCTCAGGGAACCAAGATTCAAGGTGGATGCTAGGAAGCACTTCCTGAGAGTCAGGACCCCAAGGGTGTGGAATGGGCTTCCACGAGAGGTGGTTGAGGCCCCATCGGTGAGGGTGCTCAAAGATAGACTGGGCATGCACATGGTGGACCTGTTGTGAGAGGAGCCAGCTGGAGTCGGGGGTCAGACTAGATGGCCCAGGAGACCCCTTCTGCCTCGCTCTGTGTCTATGTTTCTATGTTTGTGCTGCTTCCGGAGGAGTTTCTATTAACGGTGGAGGCAGGTGAGGCAGGGGCAGCCTGCACTAGTTTTCTAAGAGGCAATTAAAGGGAATTTCCAGATTAGCTGGTTAACTGATGGGAGTGGCCTTATTCATTCTGGTCCCTGATGCGGAGCAGAGCAGAGCCAGCTGCCCCAGCCAGTCCAGACCTCTGGGACACAAGCAGCCAAGTGCCCAGGAGTGCCCAAGCAGGGGGAACAAACAGGAGTTCCGCGGAGGAGGTCAAGATGGAAATGCTTAACTTTCCCCTCCAGTTTGTTTCTCTCCTTGATTTCACCTTAATCCCACCCCCACCACACTTGTGCACGCGCACACACACACATTTTCTTCCTTGTAACACACTCCCTTTTACTGGTAGGCCTGTGTTACTTTTGCTAACTCTTAGTGAAGACATTAGAAGGCACCAGTTGCCACAACAGCTGACGCAAAGACAGAGTCACTCAGGCGGCACAAACAACGGACCCAGGAGACCCCACAGTGGTGGCATACAAGAGCTGCATACTGGGAGCACTGGAGCAGCAAGAAAACGAACAATTTTGAGGCAGAGTGGAGGAGCTGCAACCACTCAGTGGAGTCCAGAAGCAGGAAGAGCATCAGCAGGCTGAGGCAGTGGAAGAGGCGCCCGAGGGAAGGGAAAGCGAGGAGACTCCCTGGAACAGGATGGCAGACCCAGAAGAAGTAGAAGGGAAGCAACCGGACTGCCAAACCCCTTTAAATCCCTTGAGGAAGGGACCATCAGAAACCGACTGTGCAAGAACTGCAAGATAGACGGGGTAACTCCAACAAAGAGACAAACGGCCAATCAAGACAGGAAAAGGATAGCAAAATTGGCAACAAAATGAGAAGGGTGCTAGTTGTGGGAGATTCCCTCTTGCACAGGATGGAAAAATGTATATTTTGTGATGACCCAGAGAATTGCCAAGTTTGCTCCCTCCCCGGTGCCAAGATTAAAGTTATAACCAGCAAGTTCACACATCTCATACAACCCACTGCCAAATACCCCTTCTTTCTCTTCCACGTGGGAACTAACAACACTGCCAGGAGAAGCTTTGCTGAAATAACAGCAGGCTTTGAAGCTCTAGGGAAGAAAATCAACAACACTGCAGCCTAGAGATTCTTCTCCTCAATCCTGCCAGTACGTGGAATAGGAACTGTTAGGGAAAGAGAAATCCTTCAACTGAGTGACTGGCTATGGTGGTGGGGCCATGCAGAGAGATTTGGGTTCTGGGACCACAAGCCAAGATTCCCGGAAGATGGACTACTGGCAAATGATGGGCTGCACCTCACAAAGAACGGGAAGCAGGTGTTTGGCCAGTACATGTGAAAGCTAATCAGCAGTGCTTTAAAGTAAAACCCACAGAGGTGGGAGCCGTGCTTCATGGCAGACCATCACCTGGCAAAGACACATCTACTTCAAGAGAGAAAAAACCCCAAGCAGGGCCCAGCACCAGTCCCCCCAGAACCGTAGGAGGAAAACCAGGGCACAGAAGGACCGAACCTTGATGTCTCTACACCGATGGCCAGAGGATGGGAAGCAAGCAGCATGAACTTGAGCTCATAGTACATAAGGGCAATTATGATCTTACAGGAGTAAGTGGAACTTCATGGGATGACTCACATGACTGAAACTCTACAGTCGATGGATAATGGTTCAAGAAAAATAGAAAGGACAAAAAGGGAGGTGGAGTCGCATTATATGTGAGAGACATAGATATCTACATGGAAATACAAGAAGAGGAACTTAGTAGCCCCACTGAAAGCATCTAGTTAAATTTAAAGGGAGCAAAAAAAAAAAAAAAAAAAACATAGTTATCTGTGTCTATTACCGTCCACCCAGTCAAAAAGAGGACAAGGATAAAGCCTTTGAAAAGCAACTTGCTGGCATTTCCAAGAAGAATGATGTGGTCATCGGGGGAACTTGGATTTCCCTGATTTATGCTGGGAGACAAATTCTGCCAAGCGTGGCCCCTCCAAGAGATTCTGGACATGTGTTGCTACCAACTTTCTCCAGCAGAAAGTAGAGGAAGGAACAAGAGGATCGGCTGTCCTTAATTTTATACTAACAGGGATGGCCTGGTGAATAAAATAGCAGCCACGGGAACTCTGGGGGAAAGTGACCAAGCGATACTTCATTTCTCGATTACAAAGGAGACAAAGTTTAACTGCATGACATTTGCATTTTTAAAAAGTAGCAAAAATGGGAAAAGCAGCATTAAGAACCAGACCTGCCTACTTCTGGACTCTCACCTGGCCCAGAAGGAGGAGGATACAGGTGGTAACCAGATAAGGGAGGGGGGTGGGAGGGGGGACCTGGGGGCACCGAGCCCCAGACAGATGGAGCTGGCACAGGGTTCTGGGGCCAAACCCTTCTGAGCCCTGGGTTAGATTATACATGAGTAAACTGATCAAGGAATCTCTCATTCCCTCTACAGGTTCCTCCTCCTCCTCCTCCTCCTCCTCCTCCTCCTCCTCCTCCTCCTCCTCATGGTCTCACTGATGATCCCCTTAAGGTCACTGGAGAATACATCTACCGAAACTGAAAACACTGAGAAATGACACCAAACATCCAGCTGGTGTTTTTGTGTTTTTCAGCGCACTGTTTTTTGAATGACTTCGCAGAAATCATTTCCTCTGCAGCAAAGTGGGAAAACCCCCGGTCACGTGAATCATGAGACCTGACGTTTTATTACTCTGAAATGCCGGCTAGGTCAGGTGATAGGTTCGCGAACAGGGAAGTGACAAGGTACAGCTTTGGGGCACCTTTGCCCACGGATCCCACTGCCAGAAATGAGGGTGCAAAAGGCACCCGCGGGCATGTATAGCAGGTCCTGCAACGCCCGCCCGGCGGGCCTCCTCCGTCTAAAGACACCTGCCTTGTGCTCCACGGGGCCCTTCCGCATACCTGCCCAGGTGCCCTTCCCATGGAGTTCGGCAGGGCTTCTCCCAAGTAGAATAACAGCGTTGCCTTTATATCCCGCCTTTTTAACTCTTGCGAGGATCCGCAAGTAAGTGCCTGCCATCTAACCGGCCGTAAGAGCCAAAAATATTTAGGCTCATTTTTTATGAGCTTCCTGGTGCCAAATGGGGGTCGCCTCTTTGGAGCTCTTAAGAGCAGGACTGGGGACGTTGTTGGCCTCTGGCTGGGGTGATGGGAGTTGGCATCCAGGCTTTTTTCGATGCCGGGAAAGGTTGGCGACCCTTTCCCAGCATCGAAAACCTTCTCGAAAGGCAAACGAGCAAGACCGACCCCGCGCGTGGCGTTCCGATGGCATCGCACGGGGGAAAAGGGCTGCCGAGGCGCCCCGCGCGCTGACAGAGCCCAAGGGCCGAAGCAAGCTCTGCCCCGCGGGGCTTCCAATCGCTCGCCGCGAAGGAAACCGCCCGCGTCCTGCACACCTCCCGCCTTGCCCCTCCGCGGCCGCCCGCCCTGCCACGCTCGGCTCGGAGTGCAAGCCCCGCGCCCGACTACTCACCCGAGCAGCGCCCCGGGGCCGGGCGGGCGGCCGCCAGCAGCAGCGGGAGCAGGAACCGCAGCGACCCGCGCAGCGCCATCCCCGCGCACGACTGGCGGCGCGCCGGCGCCGGGCACCGGAGGGCAGGCGCCCGCCCCATTGGCCGAGCGCTCCGGGGCGGGCCGCCCGGGGCTTGTCGGAGGCCGGCCGGGGATGCCGGGCGGCGCGCACACGCCCCGCGCGGAGAGCACTTCCGCGGCGCAAGCTCCGGGGCAGCGGGGCGGTGGGAGCGCCGCCTGCCTGCAGGGCTGGCCCGGGGCAGCCGAGGACGGCTTCCCGCATCGTTTCAACGGGCCACCGAACCTGCGGAAAGCAGGCAGGGTGGAGGGTGTGTTGGAGGGTCCCTCGGGCGCGGGGGTGTCGGAGCGCCCCCCTTGCAAGCAGAGCAGAACTGGGCATGTTTGTTTATCTATTGGCTTTCCTTGTTCTTAGTCGCGAAGTCTCACCTGACCCATCGCGACCCCATGGACAACATTCCTCCAGGCCTTCCAGCATCAGGCTCTTCTTTCTAGCCTGCCCTTTTTGCCTTTTGCAGCCAAGAAATTGAAAGATGCTTGCTCCTGGGGAGGAAAGCTATGGCAAATCTAGACAGCATACTAAAAAGCAGAGACATCACCCTGCCAACAAAAGTGCGTATAGTCAAGGCGATGGTTTTCCGAGTTGCAATGCATGGCTGTGAAAGTTGGACCATAAGGAAGGCTGAGCGCTGAAGGATTGAGGCCTTTGGATTGTGGTGCTGGAGGAGACTCCTGTGAGTCTCCTGGACCGCAAGGCAATCAAACCGGTCAGTCCTAGAGGAGATCAACCCCAATGCTCTCTAGAAGGCCAGATTCTGAAGATGAAGCTCAAATACTTTGGCCACCTAATGAGAAGGAAGGACTCCCTGGAGAAGAGCCTGATGCCAGGAACAACTGATGGCAGAAGGAGGGGACGGCAGAGGAGGAGGTGGCTGGATGGAGCCACTGAAGCAGTTGGGTGGAGCTTGGGTGGACTCCGGGGTTGGTGGAGGGCAGGAAGGCCTGGAGGAGTGTTGTCCACGGGGTCACAAAGGGTTGGACATGACCTCGCAACTAGCAACAGCAACTTGCAACAGCCTTCCCTACCAGCCACCTGGCTGCCTGGCCGGGTTACAAGAAAACCCAAGTCAGTTTTCAATCCACACCAGCTGCAGCTTTCAACCCTCTTCAAGGGTAGCCCCAGGTAGGATGGATGGCAGCTGTCTAAGCTAGAGATCAGCGGAGTGGAGATTACTGAAGCCCGGCTGTCCCTGCCCGGGTACGGGTGCAGCCGGGCCACCAGCTGACGCTGCCAGAGGGCGCTCCGAGCCTCAAGCGACAAAGACGGATCAAAGGGAACACCCAAGCGATGCTTCCACTCCTTCAGGGGAGTGCGCCCCCTGTAGAGCCGGCTGAGCATCTTCCCTCCCATGAGAGGAACCTCCCTCAGCACCATCGCAGTCTGGTCTGGACGGAGTGTCAGTCTGCTCGCCCTCGCCCAGTCCTTTGTCACAGCCAGACTGGCTTAGCAGCTCCGCAGCCCTCACCTGGTGGAGACGGGAGGGGAAATGGAGCCTCGTGTCACCTGCATACTGCTGGCAACGCACTCTGGATCTCCGGAGGACCCCACTCGGCATGGGGGACCCAACAGACCCCGGGGAAGTCCAGCTGGGGAATTCATGGGGTTGCAGAGTGTTCTCCAAGCACCACTGCCACTGGGTGTGTGTGGGGGGATGGAGGCTCTCAGGAGCCCTGTTTTAGGAGTGGGGGGCTGCCAGGGCAGTCCTCTGGCCCTGATGCTTGATGCCCCCTGAGAGAGGGACCCACCCGAGTATCCCTAGCCAGGTTGTGCTGCTGTTTTCCAGTCAATTTCCATCGCCACCTGGCTTTTGGGACTTACTGCAAAGTTTCCTCCTCATTGTGAGCCCCCTCAGACATAAGATCCCATAAACTTTGGTGTGTTGAATTTACAAGAAAAGAGCTCCTTGCTTTTCCAATTCCTGGGCTGCTGTTGGGGCCTTTAGCACCCTGACCCAGCAGCCCACATCCACCCCAAACACTTTCTCCTCTTGGTCAGAACAGGAGGGCAGCAGGTTTGTTGTGTGTTTCTCTTCATTCTTCCAGGTGCTTGGAGGGAAATTGGTAACAGCTACCAAGATAGGAAAAGGAAAACCAAGTGGCAAAAGAAATCCACAGGGGCCACCTTCTGTGAAGATGCAGTCTCAGAAGAACCCTTCGAAGGAAACCAAGGGCATGGAGGTGCAGAAACATAGAAACAGAGAGAGTCAGAAGAGGCCTCCCGGGTCATCTAGTCTGACCTCCGGCTCCAGCCGGCTCCGCTCACCACATGCCCACCATGTGCATGTCCTGCCTGTCTTTGAACACCCGCACCAGTGGAGCCTCAATGACCTCCTGTGGAAGCCCATTCCACACCCTCAGGGTCCTGACTCTCAGGAAGTGCTTCCTGGCATCCACCTTGAATCTTGGTTCCCTGAGTTTTGCTCCACTGGAACATGTCCTGCTCTCCTCCGCAGGGGTAAAAAAGGCTCTAGCCACCTGCATGCGACACCCCCTCACATATGTCGCCAACAGATCCCCTCTGAGTCTCCTCCTCTCCAGGCTGAAGAGAACCGGTTCCCTCTGTCTCGCCTCATACCCCATCCCCTGCAAACCAGCCACCAACCTTGTGGCCCTGCACTGCACTGACTCTAACTTGGCTATATCCTTTTTGTAATGAGGGGCCCAAAACTGAGCACAATACTCCAGTTGCGGGCGCACCAGAGTCGCATAGAGTGGCAGTAACACCTCTTTCGATCTAGAAGCCACACTTCTGGCTATGCAACCAAGGGTGGCATTCGCCCTCTTGACCACCGCATCACACGGCTGACTCATGCTTAGCCTGCAGTCAACCAGCACCCTGAGGTCCCTTTCACAAGTGTGGCTCTCCAACCACCTGTCCCCCAACCTGTATTTATGACACCCTTTCCTATGCCCCAAGTGCAAGACCTTGCAGTTATCCACATTGAATACCATTCAACTTTGGGCTGCTGGGGCTTGAAGCCAGAGAGAGACACCTGCCCAGAGCGCGAGGCAATGCTGCATGCCCCAGCCAGGCTGGCACACAGAGCCAGTTCTGACCATCAGCAACAGTCTGCTCAAAGAAGACACCAAGAGGGCATCTCCATCATTGCCTCATTTAATGAAAGCAGTCTGGCACAGCACCAACAAAACAGGGAGTGAGAAAAAAATCTCAGTACAGATTTCAAGAAATAAACAATTTGTTCTACGACTTAATATTTATATAAAGACTTACACACTGAAAGACTTAAGCACTGAAAGCCACCATGGTGTAAAACAATTCCAAACAATAAAACCTTGCTATGATGGAAACATAAACATAAAAACAGTAAAAGCATAAATGTATTTTAAAATATAAAATGTAATATTCAACTGAAATTGAGAAAGAGTTTGCAAAACTTGGCTCAATCGTCAACTCAAACAGAGGCTGCAGCCAAGAAATTAACAGAAGGCTGAAATTTGGAATGGCAGCTAGACAGAGCGAGCAAAGATCATCCAGTTTCACCAGAGACCGAGAGCATCCACACTCTTGTCTTCCTGATCGCCACGCCTGGGTGGGAAAGCTGGATAGTAAAGAAAGGGCATTCAAAACACGTTGCTGGAGGAGGGCTTTGCAAGTGCCCTGGACTGACTGAAAGAGAAACCAGTGAGGCAAGCCAGAACTTCACCTGGGAGGCACAACTGAGGCTGGGCAATCATGAGAAGGCACACTCCCTGGAGAAGCCAGTAATGCTAGGGCAAGGTGAGGACGGAAGATGGGAAGACCTGCGATGAGTTGATGGACTCCATCAAGGAAGCCACGGCCTCCAGTTCACAAGAACTCAGCAGGGCTCTCGAGGTCGGGGTCTCTGTAAGTCGGAGGCGACTTGGCCGCTTCAGAGTTGCACAGACCCTCAGAGGCCATGCTGACAGGCGGGCAGGTGGAACCTTGATCTGGCAGCATCGTTGTGGTTGACCTTCGTCTCTGCTGATTTTAAAGAGCTGACTGGTTAAATGAACTCCAGGTATTTCCAGGTAGGTACCCGGAAGCAAACTTTTTCAAATAAAGAGGACTCTGCCCCTTAGCAAATCCATTTTTAAGAACTCCTGCTTTGAAGAGAGCACTTTCCAGTATTAGTATTTCTAGGTCTTTCTCCTCCGTGTGGATTCCCACATGAAGTGTAAGACTTTGGCTATTACCGAAGCTCAGTCAGCACCCCAAGTATTTCAAGGGGTTCTCCCTTGAGTGAATTCTTTGATGAGAGTTAAGTTTGGAGCTCTGACTGAACCTCCATCCACACTCTGAGCATTTGAATGATTCTCTCCTGTGTGAACTCTTTGGTGTATCTTCAGCGTCATGCTCTGACTCAAGCTCTTCCCACACTCTGAACATTTATAGGGCTTCTCCCCCGTGTGGATTCTTTGGTGCTGCTTAAGGTGGGAGCTCCAACTGAAGCTCTTCCCTGCTTAAGGTGGGAGCTCCAACTGAAGCTGCAATCTGGGCAGTGGAATGGCCTCTCCCTTGTGTGAGTTCTCTGGTGTTGTTTAAGACTTGGGCCATCACTGAAGCTCTTTCCTCACTTTGAACACTTAAACGGCTCCTCCCCTGTGTTCTTTGGCGCAAGTTAAGCTGGGAGCTGTGCCAAAAGCTCTTTCCACACTCTAAGCATTTATAGGGCTTTTCGCCCGAGTGAATTCTTTGATGTACTTGCTTTGACTGAAGTTCCTTCCACACTCCATGCACTTATGGGGCTTTTCCCTGGTGTGAACTATGAGATGCAAACTAAGGTGGGGGCTCTGGCTGAAGCTCTTCCCACACTCGGAGCATTTAAAGGGCTTCTCCCCTGTGTGCGTTCTTTGATGCGTGTTAAGTTCGGAGCTCTGGCTGAAGTTCTTATCACATGCTGAGCACTGAAAGGGCTTCTCTCCTGTGTGAATTCTCTGATGATGCTTAAGGCTTTGGCTGTGGCTGAAGCAATGGCCACACTCTGGACACTGAAA